GTTGTTGGTCCNAAGGAAAACGACAACAAAGAAAAATACATAAACTACTCAGCATTATTATTTTTGGCCCATAATACGTTTTTCTAGTGTATAATCATGTCTTTATAGCTTATAATTCAATGTATTTTGTTCATTACCAATAAATTATTTTTTGTCGTATTTTTACTCTTCTTTCTCTACATTTTTAGTACACTTCTAAGCAAGTTAGGATTTTCAGCTTTTCACCACGTGAAAAAGCATCTCATCTTCCATCCGAATCAACCAAAAAGTGAAAATTGATTTTTTGACACCTAAGCCCCCTTTCCGTAGACCAGGTCACATATATTGTTTATAAGTGAATTATATTTTTATAAATCATATGTTTTCGAGAAAAATACACCGTAGTAATTTCAAATTACATTTCTCGACTGAAAAATAACTCGACGGCACACAGTGTGCGTTGTTAAACACTTCATGCCAATTAATCGTAGCGCTTTCGACGGAAGTAATATTTTGATATGAAACAAAATGGCTTTGAAAGCTAATGTAATTGCCTTTCAAGGAAAAATATTGCGTATTGTGGAACGATTTTCCGTCATCCCTTGTCAAATTTGGTTTGGTTCAGTGTCACTGAAGATGGCACAACGCCGAAACCGGTTTGTCTCCAAACCAAATTTGACAAGGGATGACGGAAAATCGTTTCACAATACATCATACTCCTACACGGTCGGAAACACAAACAACCAAAAAGAAAAATATTGCCATTGAGCCACAATCACTCCTTGACCTTAAAAAAATTGGTCAAAAATAGTGTTCTTCGAAAAAAAACATACAAAATCCAACGGATATATAAAAATAATCAACTTTTGTGTTTTTATTATACTAATATATAGATTTTGAGACGAGAAACACGATCCCACTGTTTAAAAAACGAAAAAATTTGAAAAATGCGCTATATATTGCATTTTTTATGATTTGCATGCAGCTGTGCATCATTCACACAATTTTATATCCCTCGAACAAAAAGTCAGTTTTAGTGATATTCGAGACCTTAAGACTATTTAAGCCAAGGTAGAAGTCTCTAGGCCCTACCATGATAAAAACATAGCAAGGTATAACCGTTCTCTCAATTTGTCGGCCATGATTTTTTTTTGAAGTTTGCCAACATTTTAAAATCATATAAATGTGAAAATAAAAAAATGAAATTGTTCGAAATTGTTGTTGCTTGAGATTGAAAATGAAAATGTGTGTGTGAGTTTGTGAGTAAATTTAAAAATTAAATTGTTTGGAAACGTCAAGAATTTTAAAAGTGACTCTCAGCGGTTCTACCTTACTATATTTTTATCATGATGGGCCCTACGATTCTGAAGTTCAAATTCGAAATTTCATTTGACATTTTACGCAATTTTTGTTTGGTTTAAAATTTTTATAACTAGACTCTTCTACCTTGGCTCAAATTAAAGGTCTTGATTTGCACTTATTGTTCGAGGGATATAAAATTGAGTGAAGGATGCACAGCTGCATGCAAATAGAAAAAAAAATGCAATAAATAATGCATTTTATAAATTAAGGTGTTCAAATTTTTTTTTCGTATTTTGAACAGTGGAACAGTTGTGCTCGTCTGAAAATCCATAATANTGCAATAAATAATGCATTTTATAAATTAAGGTGTTCAAATTTTTTTTTCGTATTTTGAACAGTGGAACAGTTGTGCTCGTCTGAAAATCCATAATACTAGTATAATAAAAAATACATAATTTTTTTGTTTTGGATCAAAATCCCGTGGATTTTGAATGTTTTCTTAAGGCCAAGGGGTAATTGTGGCTCAATGGCCACAATTGAAAGGGAAATTTCCCCTATTTCCCCCCGTATATCCGTCGCTGTGAACTATTAGCTTAGTCTTAGATTTTTCCCCTCAATTTTATTGCAGAAAAAAAATTATTCACTAGGCTGGCGATTTTTTTTTCGCTATTCGACCTCCAACTCTGATGTTCAAATATTATTTATATATTAAAATATGTTTTTTGTTTTTATTTTCAGTATAACAGCTCCTTTATTTAACCATTAATTTTACATATTTAGGGTCACTCATTAAAAACTAATAAGGAAATTCTCACATTATGGTCTGTTTTATTCAATAATGTTCACAAAACTATGGTAAAAAATCAATAAAGAAATACACAAAGCGATTTACCATAAAACATTCGCAAAATCTATAAACTGCTGGCGTCAATCAACGTTCGTGTAAGTATGTATAAAGTTTATAATGTGGATGGATATACATATACATATTTGTATCAATTGTGAAAAAATTACGTTGATATATGTAAGTGGTAATTTAATCCGTTTCTCTTCTTTTTTTAATTCGACATAAGCCTCGCATATTCTTTATTACATAAATTCATATCATTTCATAACTTATACTTGTACGTATATAAAATTCTTTCGATTTGATGATTGGTTAAATGTTTTTATCTCGTAGATCATATCAATAAGCATTACAAAAATGGACACGGGCTAGAGGATTCATACTCATGTCTGTCAGCTTTTATTTATTACTTTTTTGGAAAACGCCAAATTGGTATTTCCCATATACGTATTTAAAAAAATACGGATCTACGAAAGCCTTTAGCAGAAAAATTGGCCAAAAACGGCTGCATTATTAAAATAAAAACACGGAAAATTTACTTGTCTTTCTAGTGTGAGACATAAAATATAAAAAAAAAACAAAACCCAAAATTAACAAACTTAAACTGAAAAGGAATAGCTTTTACTTAATTCGATTTTGCAGCAAAACAATGCGATTTATATAAATATAGCAAAAAATCACTCGAAAACTATTTTGGATAATTTAAATATTTTTTAAGATTTTAGAATTAATCATAAAAAATATGTAAAAATGAGTTTGTAGTTTTCTAATGAAAAGCTACAGTCGAATTGCGACCAAAAACTCCTATACATATTCAACAAAGTACCCTTAGTATTAGAAGGGTGCAAGTATGAGTCGAAGTAGTAACTCACTTTGCAGGTTTTGTTCAACAAACGAAAATTTGCTATGAAAATTAAGAAATATTTACCAAAGTTGGCGCAAAAAAGAAGCATTTATCAAAGGCGAACTAGAATCGACAGAGTTTAGAGTATATATAAATACTTCTGCGTTGGCGCTGAATATTGAGTGGGATGAAAATTCGTTTGCGTTGAATTTTTCGCAATGTTCATTCGGCATCCACGAATAAGAGTGCCCGCGAACACATTGAAAGGACTAAGTTCAGAAGAAACTGATTGCACCATAGTTGTACAATTGGCGACACTTGAATCGGCCATCAACAGAGGTGTGTTTTGTTCTCGAGCCAAATTAAGAACGGTTGTAAAGCCACATAAGAGATGACAATCAATAATGTATATTCAAAATGCAAACATGCCAAGAACGGATTGCTTCTTCATTAGAAAGATGTAGCTTGCAAAAAAATCATAGGATAGGATAATATATTAATGCCATTTACATTTAAAATACACTGACATTTATTTTAAACATAACCGTACTAAGAATGCTGATTATCTCATTCAAATATCGGCATATTATAAATATCCTGTTGTCATATTCATTTTTTCTTTAATTTTATAGCTCTCATATGTGACAACATTACTGGGCTTGAAGCAAGAGTTTTTAAGGGTAAAGCTTTTAGCAAACGTGTACTAGCGCTGATTGCTAGGAATACAACTTCGACAAGTCTTAAAGCAATGTTTTTGTTAGTACTCGTATGCGAAAACGATTCAAAGGATAAACGGTCTATTACATGAATAAAAAAAAAAACGTTGCTGATGCTGACTCTCTACTACAAAATTCTCATGCATGTATGTATGTATATACTGCACATGTACATACTGCATACATACCTAAGAATGCTCATTATCTCATTCAAATATCGGTATACTAGATATATATCCTGTTGTTATTTTCATTTTCACTTTTTCTTTTATTTTATTTTATNGATATATATCCTGTTGTTATTTTCATTTTCACTTTTTCTTTTATTTTATTTTATAGCTCTCAGCGAATCTACATATGTGACAACATTATTCGGCTTGAAGCAAGAGTTTTTAAGGGTAAAGCTTTTAGCAAACGTGTACTAGCGCTGATTGCTAGGAATACAACTTCGACAAGTATTATAAAATCATTGTTTTTGTTAGTACTCGTTTGCGAAAGCAGTTAAAACAATTAACTAAACATAGTAACTGCGATAACATATTTCAAAAAGTGTTTTATGCATTCAAAGGATAATCATTTCATTCGCAATATTGCTTTTAAGTAATGTAAAATTACAGTCTGCCAGAATTTGATGTCTAAAATCATTTTACAACGTGATGATATTTTAGTTAATTTGGTACGGAAGTGTACTACAACATGCAATACAATAATAAAAGTTATTAAATTTTTTTATAACAAACTTCAGCATACGTATTTATGTAATATATACTTGAAATTTTACATCTCCAAGGCTTATGCATGTACATATATTATCTACATGTGTATATTGGATGCTGGGTATAACTCATTTTATGTTTAAATATTATTGAAGATTTTTAAAATTATCCGGCTTGAAGAAAATAGATACATTTTTTGTTTGTCCGGAATAAGTATGGCGGACTTCTATGCTTGGAATCTTATGTGTACCAACAACTAGGGTATCAAACTGATTATCAAGGGTTTGTATACCCCTACTGCAGTTTCGTGTACATGCACCAAAATCAAGGTCGAATGCTATACTCCTTAGGCGTAAGGTCATAGATGTTAAATGCAGTGTAGCATTGTAAAGAACCAGCAATAATGAGCTCGCTAGGAAGTACACGAGTAATTTCAAGTGTATAGCAACTATCAATTCTAAATCATTATGCCATCATGTCAGTTTCCTCGTTACATTTCCCCTCCGTAGCCATATGAATTATGTATCTAGGTTTTTTAAAATCAGTTGAAAAAAGAGTAAATTTCTTTTAAGCAAAAACACAATGCGCTGTTGGANCACACGAGTAATTTCAAGTGTATAGCAACTATCAATTCTAAATCATTATGTAGGGGCAATCATGTCAGTTTCCTCGTTACATGTCCCCTCCGTAACCATATGAATTTTGTATCTAGGTTTTTTAAAATCATTTGAAAAAAGAGTAAATTTCTTTTAAGCAAAAACACAATGCGCTGTTGGAAAACGCTTTGGCAGACATTTTTTTTTTCGTGTTTTTGGGGTGATATTTGTAATAACCCTGACAGAAGATGGTTTAAATGGTAACTGTTTAAGTTTTATAGCTTGTTTGTGTTAAAGAGTAATGTTAATTTATAATTACTGATCAATCATGACGCTGATATCGACTTAGCGAATGCGTATGATTCTTGTTTAATTTAAGTAAGTAAATTATTTTTACGTATATTATCCAAAAGACTCTTACACTCGATGAAGACAACTTCTTCGTCGATTTTGTTTACGCCATCAATTCTGATTGGGCTTTGTAATTTGATTTCATTCTGAAGAAATTTAATGAGTTCATTACTGAAAGTTTGCGGCAAGCCTATGTTAGTAGGAAAAAAATTGTTTCATTAATAAAGTCTGGTTTTTATTTGAATAGCAAAATTCCTACCATCAATCAAACAGAAGTTCGTTTTGCACACACCGGTTACATCTGCTGGGTAATGGCGTATATCGGCGCTGGTCAAATCTGCTTCATTGGTAAAATCAATATACATCACAGTATAAACCGAGCCTTTTATTTCAGTTACTTGAGCACGGTACCACAAATCTTCAAATTTGGCGATACAATATTCGTCTAGTCTGAAAGGAAAAATATAAAAATTTTGAAAATAGCAATAATGGTAAATAAAGCTTTTTTCAGCATACTTATAAAATCAGACCTATTTAATATAAAAATTACAACATCTAACTTAAAAGAAAACCAATAGTCACGCTCACTTATGTAAGTACTACTCATAAGCTTGCCAAACATAAAAGGACAATCGACGTGCGCTTTCTCTATAACACCTCGCGCTGCTTATTTACCATTACTATGTAAATAAAAGAAATGGATGTTGGTATGATGCTGATCGGGGCGAGGCAGCGATTTTTGGTACAAAGACTATTGGTTCTGGTTCTGAGATCCCAGGCTCGAGGTGGTTAAGATTTTCGAAGGTAAATCAATGTAAGTAAAAATAATTATTTCAATTTAAAAAAAATATAAATAACAATTTTTAAAATCTGATTGAATTGCAGAAAAAACATACATATGGTAAGAAATTCTTATGCCATAAAAAAAAAATTGCAATAAAAATCCAAAATAAAAAAAAATAAAAAAAAAATACTATTAAAACATTTTCCCTGCGCCAAAACTTGAACCTGGGCATACCAGGTCCTCGCGACTGTTGGAGCCCCGCGAGCGAAAAGGCATACTTATGATTTTCACGGGGGATGAATTGGCAGACTATCTCATCAACTGGTATGGTGCTACTAGTATTTTTACTAGCAGATGCTGACGCATAGCCTGGCAATTTACATCTCGTGCAGGCTAACCTAATATTCGCGGCTTGCGTTTTGGTCCGTACGCCGTCGAATTTGTTTTTTTTTTTTGCGTCACCCGAAAGGGGCTTGCGTGCATTTCCATTTGATTACCTCGAGCGCCCCCTTTCTGTTCCCAAAGAAGCGCTTGGTGAGCGCTTCAACTAAAGCTTTTTTGATTTTTAGTTTTTATATTATATTTTTGTTTTAATAAAATAATGGCGTTTTTGTTAACGATTTGATGGTTTTATTAAGTGTACTTATAAACATGGTTTTTTATTGTAATATTTTTCCGCAATTTTTTTTATAAAAGTATGGTTCATTCTACAACGAAAAACATAAAAATATAATTTCTAAACTTTGTGCAAAACTCGCGAAAATTCAGCATATTTTCAGCATTTTTATCAGATTTTTAGAGTTTTTTGATTTTGCAGATTTGTATACCAATCAAATTTATTGTAATAAAGTCGAATTTCGAAGTAGCTACGAATTACCGTGGATTTTTGGCAATTTTTTCACGCAGTCTCTTCCATACAAACAAAATTTTTTGAAAATACTTTATATGGAATAAATGCAAAACACTTCCAACAAAAAAAATTCTCAAAAATCAATGCGATTTTTGACTAACTCCGAACTTGCATTTTTTATACCCGAGCGCACTTGTGCACATATTAACATATTAATTTTGTTCACATAACACTAGAGTACACGCGCGGCTTACTATAATAGACCATGGTAACATTTTTGATGATACCTTGACAATTTTGTGTATAACGGTAAATTTCAGAAATGCTTGAGATTTCAGTATTTCGAAATTTAAGGACGCTAATTTACTTAAAATTTATACACCCCGGCTTATCATGTAAGCGTAGCTTTCGGAAAGGTGGAAAACATATATTTAATACTTGCGCCGGGTATTTAATGTTCGGCTCCGCCCGAACTTAGACTTTCTTACTTGTTCAACTATAAGTTTAATTTAAATGTTATCTAAAAAACATTTATTGACATTTTAAAATGGCATACTATAGTAGGCCACGCGTGCATAGGTGTAAAAAATAGCGGGTGCACTCTAGTGATAACGGTTGTTTGTAACAGCCAAAACGAATCGAGATAGATATAAGGTGTGTACTCGTATTGAGAGGGCAAAATTCTCCAGCAGCAAAGTTCTGAGAATTTAGCAGCATTCGCTCTCAAAGAGACGAAATATCAAGAGAAGTACGAGAACGCAAAATTTGCAAAAACTTGCAACCTTTGAAGCAGCTGATCACTTGCACAGTTGCCACTGGTGATTAATTTGGCAATTTATTTTCTGCTTGGTACATTTTCCCCCGATTTGGCATTATATAAAATTGAATAGTTTTGCATAAGAAAAACCTTTTTAAAATACAAATTAATTATATCGGAATGAATAA